ACACCCAGCCCTGCATCACTGTGTTTGTTTTGGAAGAACCTGATTCAAATAACCTTTGCCCCAGCAGAGGAGTGGCACTTAGGTGAAAAAAAAAACGAAAATGCGTTTGTGTGCAGCTGTGCAAGGAAAAACCAAAATGATTGAGCAATGAGTATCCATTCTACAGGGTGGTGATTCATTCTATTTTTCAAGTCTTCGTGGTAGATCTGATTAAATTCATACTCAATACATAACGTAGAATGATTTTTTTATAGAGTGCTTTGTAGTTATGTGTGCAAAAAGTCTTTTTAAATAAAGTAGAGATCTATGTAGGAAGAAATTACCTCTGCTACACGCAGAAACCAGCTATTCCCTGATGTTCTCCTGCTGGCTGCTGAGCCCAAAAGATCGTCCATCATTCGAGTCACTGCGCTGTGAGCTCGAAAAAGCCCTTGAGGATCTGCCAGACCCACAAGATCCAGATGAGATTCTATACGTGAACATGGACGAGTCCTCCATGGAGCTCGGAGCCGTTGGTGGTCGTGACCCCACTGGACGCTCATCCCCTCTCTGCTTGAAAGGCCTGGAGTCTGTGACCACAGTGGAGGTCCACCACCCCAACCGTTATGTCCTCTGTCCACAGCACGAAACCAACCGAACCCTTTCTGACTCCATGGAGAGCCTGGACATGCCAGTATCATCCTCCACAGCCACATTGCCTCTACAGTCATCATGCCACTCCACTCCCAATCGCACTCCAACTGTTGAGCTGCTCGAGGACAGGAATGGATCCAAGAAAATGCCCTGGCAGTGACAGACTCACTCTTAAAAATGACAAGACTGGTCACTGCCAAAGTGTGCTATCCCAGTACAAGTACAAAGAACATAATCCAGCCTGTCGCTGATTCTTTCTAACAGCAAGAAGAAACCTTATGTGGCTCTCTATATATAATTTGCACAGACATACTCATAAACAAGCAGACAAATTAATTCCAAGGACGTGAAGGACTGATATTTTATTTTCAACCCCTTTCTTATAAGATGACGGGTTGAAAAAACCTTATAAGCCAACCTTGTCTTATGAAGTTTTATTACACTATCCAGAGCCAAGTGAGTGTAGAATTACATTTGCTGTAGCAGTTGGGGACACTCTTATCAATAAGAGGGTGAAGAGATCTAGATTCCATGCTACATGCCCACACACACTGCAGCAGAATCAGATAAATGAATTCCTAACAAACACACCATTTCTGTTTAACTACCTGAATGTAAAAGAGTAATTAAGCTAAAAAATAAAAAATTAATAAAAACAGCTCAGACCCTGCCAGACTAAACCCGAAAGATTGAACTTTACAGTGAGTCAGCACTTGTATGGAGGACCTGTCACACACAAGGAAACAATTATATAAGAATAAACTTCATTCATTCTTGGAAGAAAGAAGCAGCAGAGCCTGTTTTACACAAAGTGAATTATCTGATCAGAAAACTTGTTGTTTTTAAGGTTATGTTAATACCTACAATAAGAAAGTTTATGAAGAGGTTAAGAATGCCTAGCTTGGTTGCCTTTACTTGACCCTATTTTTCATTAGCCTTAAAACTGTCAGAAGTGTCAAAACACGAACTTCATGGAGGAGGTTGTGCATCTGTTGGCAT